GGGCCTGGCCCCGGCAGCGGCCGGAGCACTGCTGGGCGCAGATGGTCTTGGTCACTGAAAAGGAGCACAGGTCACGGTGAGCTGGGAGGGGGAGGGGGGACTGCCCCCAGGGACACCCTGGAGCAATCGCACATGGGGGATGGGGGGAGCAGGGGAAGTGATGGGGAGGGACCTCGTTCAAGCTCCCGGACACCCCCGTTCTGCCAGACTAAACCCAGTCGTGACTGTCTGACGGCGCCTCAGTCTCCCTTATTTTTTGTTGTTGTTACTCTTCACCCAAGGATAGTTTTCCATGGATTTTTAAAGAGAGTGGGAGAGACAGAAAGAGACACATCGATGTGAGAGAGTCACATCGATTGGTTGCCTCCTGCATGCCCCTGACCACGGCTGGGGAGTGAGCCTGCAACTGAGGTACGACGTGCCTTGACTGGAATCGAACCCAGGACCCTTCAGTGCATGGACTGACACTCTATCCACTGAGCCACACCAGCCAGGGCTTCCTGCTTGCTTTTAATCACTGGGGAGAACTGACCAGGGGAAGTCTAGACCGCTAGAGCCGCTAAGCCAGTGGTTCTCAACCTTCTGGTCCTTTAAATACAGTTCCTCATGTTGTGACCCAACCATACAATTATTCTCGTTGCTACTTCATAACTGTCATGTTGCTACTGTTATGAATTGTCATGTAAATATCTGATATGCAGGATGGTCTCAGGCGACCCCTGTGAAAGGGTCGTTTGACCGCCAAAGGGGTCGCGACCCACAGGTTGAGAACCTCTGCACTAAGCCATTAGCTACACGTTGGAACCGAGCTTCCGGTGGCACCGACGCACATACAAGTGATCGAAAAGACAGCCAGGGAGCCGTGTGGAAGGATGTAAGAGTCATGTCACGGTCAGACGGTCTGTGAAGGACGGATGGCCAGGAGGTAGGTGACAGGTCCCCAGACTCCTGGCCATCGGTGCTCCTGCACTCAGAGCACACAGAAAACCCTCCTGAAAAGGTCGCTCGGACTTCTCGGTAGGTGGGTCCCAGAGCCAGGGGGTGGGGGGTTAGGGGGTGCACAGGCCGACCAGCCCCCTGTTCCCAGGAAGCTCCGCCGGGCACTGCTCCAGGGGATGACTGGCGCCAGCGGCCGCTTTCGCTCATTTACGGCCGCCTGCCCCACGTGCCCACAACAGCCGGCACCGGGTTCCCCGCGGGAGGCTGGCGGGATTGGTGTTCACTGGGCTGCTCACGTCTGGCCTTATGACCAAGAGTGACTTTTAGGTCTGGCCAGTGTGGCTCAGTGGTTGAATATCAACCTGTGAACCGGGAGGTCACAGTTCAATTCCCAGTCAGGGCACATGCCTGGGTTGTGGGCTCGATCCCCAGGGTAGGGTGTGCAGGAGGCAGCTGATCAATGATTCTCTTTCATCATTGATATTTCTCTCCCCCCACCTTCCTCTCTGAAATTAATAAAAACATATTTAAAAAATGGCAGAGGCATTATTGAAAAGCAAAAACAAACAAAAATACTGGCTTTGGGGCCTTCACACAAGTCTGGGGGGTGGAGGCGGTGGAGGCGGCAGCAC